GTGACGTGTTCAATACTTATTTTACCCGCTGTACGTCTGTTTCAGATTTTCATCACGTCTCTATAACTTACACCAGTTTAATAAGTTTATTAGGTTTTATCATGTTGCACTTTTAATCGTCTTGTTGCTTAAATGTGCTACATAAACATACTTGCTTTGAAATCGTTTTAACCTGATGTGCTTTCTACCTGAAGTGATCCGAGACAGCAACGTTGTCCAGCTGGATGTGGACTCTGAGATCCGCCATGTTGTGGGGCCAGTGAACCCCAGTGCCACAGACACCAGGAGGCCAGTGTTTATTGGTGGAGCTCCAGGTGAGTGAGCAGCAGCAGCTTCCYCTGACTGTCCTTTTTCAAGCCSWATCGTTCCTCATCAACCTTTCCTTTGTTCAGATCTGTTCCTTCCAGACAGCATCGCCACCAGGAAGCCCTACGTGGGCTGTGTGAGGAACGTGAGCATCAACCAGAGCCAGGCCGCCTTCAGCAAGGCTGTTCTGGTCAGTGGAGCTGTCAGCGTTGGAACCTGTCCAGCAGTGTAACTCTTTTAATCAATAACCATCCCAAAATGGTGCTGACCAAACTCAATGTAGAAAGTGTCTTAAACATACCCACTAAAAGTGTCAACTTTTGTTTTCATTTGGTTTAATGCCTATTTATGTCTGTAATGGGTTTTTATTATTTTTAGGTTTTTGTATCACTTAAAAAAAGGAAAAAGACAAAACACTGAAATTTGATTTTATTGCCATTTTTATTCTATATGACACTTTCTGATGTCTTTAAGTCAAGATTTTATCACAAACTCAAGCTGAAAACATTACTGTTTTGTACTTTCTCATTTTTGTTAATAAATCCTATTTTACATCCACATGAGCTTGTTTTTTTTTTCTGTTGTCTTTTCAGAACATCASAAGCCTGGTCACAAATAGGCTTTTATTTATAGTACAAATTTACTAGGGGTGCAACAATACATGTACCCGTGTTGAACCATATTGAACAGTRCTTYAGGTTCAATACACACTTGTATGGAACAATACAGATTTTAACATTTATTTTATCAGCTTGTCTTCTGAAGATGCTCTGTGTTGAAGGATCAGTGGATCTGTGTTCGACTACTCCACC